AAAACGACAGCTGAAGACATGTCTACGCCAATGCCGCTGCCAGCTATGGCCAGTGTAATGGAAAAACAACAGCTCCTCATGTTCCTCACCGGGGAGGGTGGCACTAACAAATCCCACGTAGTCGCTGCCATCGATGCCTTTGTTAAAAGATGGCAGCATCCACACAGCGTTGTCAAAACTGCAATGACTGGCAAAACTGCAATTTCCATCGCCGGGGTGACATTCCATAGCTGGTTCGGGACGCACAACCTCGAAGCTGATTACTGTTTTGAACGCTGCCAGGCGCAGCTGAAAGGCATACCCGGCTTCATGCCAGAACTAGATTTACTCATGATTGATGATTTCAGCATGATGAACAAAGATGCGTTCCTTCGACTTGACCAAGCTCTGCGCGCAGCCAGAAAGCTGGATATCCCGTTCGGTGGTGTGCATATCTTGCCTAGCTTCCCCCTATTAACGGCATGCCAGTGTATTCTGATCCTTTATTGGATAAGGCAGACACGACCGCCGACCATAAAGCATTTAAGCTCTGGCGTCTCTTCAACACGGTTGTTGTTCTAACTGAGACCGTTCGTTTTGATCAGACCCCGAATGGGGCCGCCACTGTAAAAACGTCAACGGGGCATATGGGAAAACGATTTTATTCATATCATCAACAGTAAACTTTTGGAGAACATCAACCCCGACCTGCGTCGGAGTTTTGTCAATCCAAAAGGTGGCCATTTCGTTGTCCCGGATAACGACAATCGTACACAGCTACTGCATTCGTTTACGTGCACGCTGTCTGCACTGCTGCCTTGTGATCATCAACCTGTTTGCATCGTGGCAGACTTCGGCGCGAACTTCAAAAACAGGAAACCGCATGATATAAATTTCATAATGTCATTGTCGGAGAACAAACTCGGACGATTCGCTGCGTTCCTTGACCTTCTACCCGGGATGCCGGTTTTGTTCACCCAGAACGTAGATCCCGCTCGTGGCATCGCAAACGGAACCTTCGGTATTCTGCACTCTTTACAGTTCCCTAAACATACGATGTTTGCACCGTTCCATGACACGAATGCAAACATTCGCGTGCTGCTTCCTAGCTCCCCGCCGGACCTCGCTCTTGTGCGCGTCCCCCATCGTTCCGCATTCGAACGGCTCCCTGCTGCACTTTCTGCCGACCTGCCTTCGGATGTTTACCCGGTGTTCAGACAACGGCCCTACGGCTCTGCGAAGGTCGACCTCCCGACCGATGCAGGAATGCCCCAGAGAACATGCCACGTGCGATCTTTCTAATTTCCATTCGTGTCTGCTGTCGCTTCGACCGTCTACAGGATCCAAGGAGAGACATTGACATCTCTCATTGTCGCCGAGTGGAAAGCACGCCCTGATGGTGGCCACAAACGGAAACACAACGTCCCACAACAGGGTTACATCATTGTCTCCCGTGTTGTCAATTGTTCTGCTTTCGTCATTTTAAAGCCATTCACAAAGGACCTCGGAGCCTTTTTCCAGCCAAATCCATCTGTTGTCCGTGAGCAATTGCGCCTTGACAAACTTTCGGATCTTACCCTGTCCCCTGCTACAGCCTTTTGCTCTACCTCCGCTTCGAGGCCGCAGATCGTTGCTCGTCCACGTGAAGCCTTCAATGCTTCTGTCGTCAATGATGGATCCCCGAACGACGCGCTTACGGACTGGACAACCCCAGCGGGTAAACGGTCGCGCTCGCCGACACCTCCTGCTGTTTCGACGACCGTTCTGCCATCACAGCTGAGCCCACGTTCTTTGCCATTCTCTATCTGACCATCTACCCATGAACAACCGCAACTTAAAAAGCTTTCGTGCCTTCTCCCTTCCTATCTGGGGCCTCGGAATACCATTTCTTCAAGTGAAACCTCCGATTCCTCTCTCACTGGTGACAGGCTCCCGAACGATGCCCTTGCCGAGCAGACCGCCTCGGTGGCCGAGCGGTCGCGCACGCCGATGCACGCTGGCGACGTTGCTGCTTCAACAACCGTTCCACCATCGCAGCTCGGCCCGCAGCCTTTGCTATGCTCTGTTTGTCCATCTGTTCCCGTTGTGTCTTGAACGCCGCCTCACGGCGAATCGCAATTTACGGCGGACTGTCCATACCGTAGTCTCCATGGACTCGGAACAGCGTGGCTTAGTGACATTCCCATTGGGGACTATATGGACTTGCTGATGGACACTTTTCCATCGGTGCTCACCGCGAACAGTTTGCGTACGCCCACGGCATCACATGCAGTGACTTCTCGTTCGCCGACCAAAACATTGATGCTCGGTGCTATCCAAGACTCGCCTCTACGTTTACACATCTTTTCCTCCCTCTGCATATGCATGGTAATCATTGGGCACTTGGGCACATTGATGTAAACAACCAACAATTATTCTTCTATAATAGCCTTGGCCACTCCAACGCTGTGTTCTCTCGAAACATGCGCCAGTGGCTGTGTCATCGTTCTGATGCTTTCAATGCCCTTGCCGCCATACAATGCTTCAACATTCGAGGCCCTGCTCAAACAAACTCGTATGATTGTGGTGTTTTTATGCTGGTTATGATTCGGCATTTGTTGATCGGGCCTCCCCACCTGCCTATAAACAATTTCGGCCAACAAGACATACGATTCTATCGATCGTTCATTCACGATGAACTTATAACCAAAGTCCTGAAATCCATAACTCTGCACCCTCATTTGAGTTTTCCCGTTCTCCCACCCTACTGCTGCGCTCGGCGAAGAACATGATTTCCGCTAGGCCATTTCTGGTTTTCTTCGCACATGTTCAGCGTCTGTTTTCCGACGCTCACACTACGTACGTGATTTTGTGTCCAGATTGTGGCTTCCTCCCAAAACGCTGGAGATAGTGCGCCTTCGGCGCTCCCGCCGCTTAAACGCGATCGGCCTTGCCTGCGTGAGTGACTACGCATTCAAAATGAAGCCAGGGAGCAGA